CTTTTATTAATGTAAAAAAAAAAAACTTTGAGTGGAATGTAGTGACAAGATTGTGAAGAATAAATGTATTTCTATGCCAACAAAGATCAGAATGTTAAACGATGTTAAACAACGGCCTTTCCTGTGGTAATGTATGTCTATGAAAGCTGGACACTGGAAAAGGGTCAAAGAAGTGAGATCCCTTCAAATTAAGGGCTACCATGGATTGCAAAAAGAGCCAGTCAGTCCTGGACCAAATACCGATGAACTTCTCTCTTGAGGGGATGATCAGCAAACAGAAACTCACATACTTTAGACATGTGATGCAAGTGAATGATGGATAGAAGAAAACAGCTATGTTTAGAAAGGATGAAAGAAGCAGAAAGAGAGAATAACAACAGATAAAATGGATAAACAAGATCAAAAAGTTACAGAGCTGCCCTTAGGAGAACTACAAGTTATTACTGGAGACCAGCTGAACCACAAGCGTTGGTCTATGCAGTCAGGAATCAAATTTGATGGCGCTTAACTAACTAACCACCCTCCAGCGAACATATGGTTTTGTCATATAACACATTATTTCCAAAAATACTCTGAACCTCAGTATCAGTTTTTAGGGAGGGAATGATGGTAATATTGAAGATGCAACAGAAATGACAAGATACTCCTGGTCCACATGAGAAACAGTAGTTATCTGGATCTGAAACTATAGGGAAATACAGTTGTTTCATATTACTATTGTTTTAGCAAATGACAAGTTTGTTCTACAACACTATACACAAGCCATATGCTGTCATTTTTCATTAACTTGATTAAACAGCCATTGAACAATTTAAAAACATATTTCAGGACACTTCATCAAGAGATTATCTGTACTTATTTTTCTTTTAAAATACCCTGCTAAACTGGGTGAGTTATGAACTTGTAAAACTAAAATATACACATAAACCTTGCATATAGATTAGGGGTGGAAATCTATGGCCTTCCGGATATTGCTAGCTTAGCAGATGTTCAGTAACATCTGAAGGACTGTAGATGTAGTGCTTCCTCAGACCAATACTTGAATCAGAAGGCTTGCAATCAGATATTCAGTGAAGAGCTCTTATAAGATACTTGCATTGCAGATACCAGAAAAGCCTTTAATAATGAGGAACAGCAGCTACTGCAAACTCTAGGATACAAGTCCTA